GTCTCTCTCTCTCTCTCTCTCTCTCTCTCTCTCTCTCTCTCTCTCCCTCTCTGCTCTCTCTCTCTCTCTCTCTCTCTCTCTCTCTCTCTCTCTCTCTCTCTCTGTGCTCTCTCTTTCTCTGCCTGCTCTCTCTCTCTCTCTCGATGTGTCGGCAAGGGCAAGCACACCCATTTGCATGCTGTTGTGGGCACACAACGTCAATCTTGTTGTGCACTGCTTCTCACCCAACAATCGCCATCTCCCTCACAATTGCCAACGCGCAGTGAATCCACAACAACCACAACCAACCAACCAACCAACCAACCAACCAACCAACCAACCAGTCGCCATGGATCAGTTTGTGAACAACCCTAACCCCATCCCTTCCAAGCAGAAGCTCTTCCAGGTACATGGGGTTTCATGCGTTTGCATGTGCGTGTATGTGTGCATGCATGTGCGTGTGTGACTGCATTTGGTGTTTTGGATCCACGCCGTCGCACTCACGTTTCCCTTCCCGCAACGCACGCACCAGACGGCTTCCAAGGACATTCTGTCGATGCGCCTGCCTGGTGACAAGGCCAAGTACCGCCTTGCCATGCTCACCACCACGGCCGTCATGGTCAGCGTTGTTGGCGGCGTGTTCTGCCTCGCCACCAACACTGGCAAGAAGGTTCGCTCCGCCTAAGCTCTCGTGACTCGTCGTGGCCACCGTCTGTGGTGTGGTGTGGCAAATCGGTGGCTGTGACCGTGCCCTCGCAGCTGCCAATGGTTGCGCCACCCATGGTGTGGTTTCCTGTCCTTCAATCATCTTTGTCTATGCTTGTGTATCCATGTGAGCCTCGATTGTCACGCGTGTGCATGCTAGCTGCACTCTTGTTGCGCGACTATCATCGTCCACGTGAAATTGGGGTTCTTTGCTGTTGCGTCTTTCGTGCCTGGTGGTTTGTCCTTGGCAATGTGTTGTTCTCTTGCCACTGTGTTGCTGGTGTTGAGTCATGGTACAGCACGAGTCGTGTTGTTGTGTGCCGTTCTTCGTGCGCTTGGGCCAGCTCTGTGCTGCCACACCGGCCTGTACGTGTGTGGTGTTTTGTGTCGTTTTGGTTTGGTTTGTGCTTCTTGTCTCGAGTTTGTCACAGATATAATCAAGGGTAACAACAGCAGCTATGATGACCGCCCATGGCAGGCGAGCAAGGCATGTGTGCGTGCGTGTGTGCAGCGATGTGTGAGTGTAAGGCGGTTTGCCTCGTGCGGTACACGCGGTTGAGGGGTCCGAAGCTTTGCACTGTGCGTGAATTGGTGAGGGCGAGTCAGTCGATCGATGGTCAAGGGAAGTCGATGGAGAGGGGCTCGTCCGAGGCCTGGCCATGGTTTGCACAAAAGTCCTGCAGCAGATCAACGCAGTTGAGGTACCCGCAGAAGCTGCAGCGGTGGCGTTGGGGAGGGGGGGGGATGGTCAGGGTTGGAGTACGGAGCGTCAGTGATGACAGTGGGGTGAGGGGGCGGAGATGAGATCCAAGGTGGACGCACCAAGGACAAACGTGACAGTACACAAGGGCATGAGGGTTGCGGGTTGCGTCGACGTCGTTGGCACAGTGAGAGGGAGAGGAGAGGGGGGAGGGGAAGAGGATGGGAGAGACCGAGAAGGAGAAACACACACACACACACACACACGCACACACACACACACACACACACACACACACACACACACAGACCTGCAGCCCGGGATGGTGGCGGCGTAAAAGATGGTGAAAAGCACAACAAAGGCAGCAACAATGCCCCCGAGCGCAAGAATGGAGAGCAGGTGCTTCTTCGCCTTGTCCCGCGTGCCAAAGGTGATATGCGGCAGAAACGCAAGCGCTGCAAGCATCCCAAACAGGAACCTGTCAAGCAGGGAGGGAAGAAATGGTTGATTGGAATGTTGCGGTGAGCGGTGTGGTGGCAAGGGTTTGGAAGAAAAGGTGAGTGTTCGGGTGACCAGGAGCGTGTCCTCAGCACAGCAGCCGCAATGGCAGAATACATGCTCTCCAAGCAAGCCCGCACAGCGCTCATGGAACCCCCCCCCCAACAAACACACACTTTGCACAGCACACGCGCGCACTGAACACGCCACATGACAGCAAACGATCTCTTCCCCCTCCTGCATTTCTCCTCGAGGTGCGGCGACGACTCACCCGCCAATGTGGGAGTAGTTGTCGACGTAAGGCAGGATACCAATGGCGAATGCAAGGACGATGATGACGATGAGTTTGGCCAGCTCCGAGCCCGGCCGCTCAATAAACTTCCACGACTGCACCAGCTCAACCACCTACCAAAGGCGGGTGGGGGTGGGAAGGGGAGAAGGGTGGGTGCAAGGGTGAGTGTAAGCGTGCAAAGGGTATGAGTAGGAGTAAGGGGGAGTGTGTGTGTGTGTTTGTGTAAATGTGTGTGTGAGTGTGTGTGTGTGACTCAGAATGCACCTCAGCGCCACCCCAAGAACACCCAACACCACCTCGACATCCCCTTAGTCCGTCACACACGGCATCACCCCTCAGCATAACCCCCATCACCACCACACATCCAACATCACCACGACGCACCAGTGCTGCGAGGATGCCAAAGTTTGCGCCGGAAGCGCCGACGGTGACCTGATAGCGGGAGAAGAGGCCGCTGATGACAAACCCGCCCGCCCCGCTGATCATGTAGATGAACGCTGCATTGGAGGGTGGTGGTGGTGATGGTGGTGTCGGTGGTGGTGGTGGTGAGGTGGGAAGAAAGGAGAATCACACATCACACACACACACACACACACACACATGAGCAAACACGCACAAACACACGAGCATACACGCACACACACACACGCACACACTCGCACACACACATACACACATACACACATCACACAATGCCCCCCTCCCCTGCAGCAGGAACTGACCGACACGCCACCAGCCGGCGATGCGCTCGACATCGGGGAGCAGCGAAAACTGCAGGAGGAGAACAACAAAGAGGTGAATGCCGCCAGCGTGCAGGAAAATGGCGAGGAAGAACCGGTACCTGTGCAACATAGCAGCGGTGGTGGTGGTGTTGTTGAGGTCGTGGTGGTGTTGACGATGAGGTCGTGGTGGTGGTGTTGATGACGAGGTGGTGGTGGTGTGACAGTCAAGTGAATGAGGAATGAGAGTGAGTGGGCTTGCCTCGAGTAAGAAACAAACAAACCAAAAAAAAAAAAAAACTCCAAGTGACAATGCCACAAACTGAAATGGGACAAACAGGCACAACACCAAAGAGAAAGAACACCCGCTACCCTCTGGGGTCCGCTCGCTTTTCCAACCTTCAACATCAGCATCAAGCAATCCTCTCATCGGCGCCATCGCCATCACACTATCACCTTCACTACCATCAATCACCATCATCGCCATCATCGCCATTAACACACCACTGGTCCGGCGCATTCCGGGCGAACGGAGAGAGCCCGCACTTGTCCTCCAGGCAGTTGGCCTGCTGGCACGACACCTTGTTTGGATGGAACACACCGCGCAGCGCCTTGGACTCGCACGTCTCCTTGGTGGTGAGCGTGCACTGCCCTGCCAGCCCGTAGCAGCAGGGGCGGGCCTGGATGGCACATGTACACGTCCGCTCGCTCGATGTGATGTCATCCCTGAGTTCGCAGCCGGGGAACGCGTCCGGGTTTACGCAACAGGACGGTCCGCCACACATCTGCGAATCGTCAAACGTGTACTGGCAGTCGCTCTCAACCGTGCTCCAGCACACCCCAGAGTTGATGCAGCACCTGACCATGGTGGTGGTGGTGGTGGTGGTGGTGGTGAGTGGTGATCGTGGTGGTGGGGTGGGGTGAGGGAACGTCGTGGTGTCATGTTATAAAATGGCCAATGTCCACAAGAGAACACGTGGTTCTCACATACATACACACATACGCACGCACATACTTACATACATACACATACACACACGCACGTACACACACACACATATTCGCACGCACATACCCACACACGTATGCTTAGAAACACATCCACCACGTCAATGAAAGAAACACACGCGTGTGCACGCACCCCATCTGTTGTTCCAATTCCAGTTGCGGTTTGATGAACGTGTCTGTGACATATTTGTCCTTGCCCATGCACGGTAGATACTTTGCTCCGAGAATCACCAAGTCCTCGTGGCGCGGCCCTGCACAAGAGGGGGCGGTGGTGGTGATGTGGTTGATTGGTGAAGATGGTGGTGGTTGGTTGTGGGGGTGGGGTGTGTGATTGACACAGTGGTGGTGGTGGTGGTGCTACTGATTGTCAATGCATCTGCGGATGTGGGAACATGTCATGCGCCTTTCACGACGGTGTCATTGTCGCATGGGCTCACCAAACCAGAAGTTGGCTGTCACTTCGTACTGCAAGCGCAAGGACATCATCACGTGCGTGAGGGGAAAGCAGGAAGCGTTTGAACACTGTTCTCAGCAACACACACACACACACATGCACGCACATAGATGCACACACAGAGGCACACACAGAGGCACACACACACACACACACACACACACACACACACACACACACACACACACAGACGACACACACACACACACACACACACACACACACACACACACAGGTGCTGTGCTGGTCTTACGGTGAGGACGAGGTAGGACTGGTCTGGCTGCAGCAGCGGCTCTGTCGAGTCCGTCTGCGTCTCAAAGTTGATGGGTGCGCGGTCGTACAGAAACAGCACAAGCGCAATCACAGCAACCTGGCGTGTGTGTGTGTGTGTGTGTGTGTGTGTGTGTGTGTGTGTGTGTGTGTGTGTGTGTGTGTGTGTGTGTGTGTGTAGTAGTAATCGGGTGAGCTGACCCGAGCATTGGAGTCAAGTGCCAGCGCCCAAATGCACCAAAGTGTTTCTCAGAAGAGGCAAACCACATGTGCCACATGCATACACCACACATACACACATGAAACACACACACGCACACGCACACGCACACACGCACATATGTATGCAGGCCTGTTGACACGAGTGGACGCACCTGTGTGACGGAGACCCACCAGGTGAAGAACGGGCGGTGCACGGCCAATTTCTGCAGCTTCTCCCGCCCCTGTCCACCACGCCACGGCAGCCGCAGCGGCAGCAAAGCGAAGGCGAAGGGGGTGTTGCGAGAATGAGCGCGCGTGCACATGTAAAGACTCCAAAACACACGCACACGCACACGCACACACACACACACACATGTACGCACCTTTGCAATCTTCATCTTGCGCCTGAGCGTGCCCGTGAGACCGGAGAACGAAAATCTGCTCTTCTTTTTCCTCTTGTCGTCCTTCTTGTCCTTCTTCTTGCCCTTTTCCTTCTTGTCTTTCTTCTTCTTCTTCTTCTTCTTCTCGTCGTCTGCGTTGTCTTCTTCCTCCTGCTGCCTCTCCTCGCGTGCACGACGCGATTCCGCAGCAGGGACCGGGTTCAGGTGTCTCTGTTGGTGCACAACAAGCAGTGGATGGGCATGAGTGGCACCCCTCATATATACAGCCAAACCACACGCTTGTTCGCGGATACACAACACATACACACACACACACACACACAAACACACACACACACACACACACACACACACACACACACACACACACACACACACACACACACACACACACACACACAAACACACACACACACGCAAACACACACACGCTACACAAACACACACACACGCAAACACACACACACACACACGACAAGCAAAAACCCCCACCGATCGCCGGCTGCGTCCGCGGCGCAGCGTGTCCCCGATATCGTGCAGGCCCTGCCGCACAATCTCGCCAATCGGCTGCAGTGCGGGCGGGTCAACGGCGTCGCGGCCATACCGGGCGCCACGACCAGGGCGCGGACCAGCACCCACCGCCTCAAGGTCAAGCTCGTTCCCAGCCATGCTTGCGCGGCGGCGGCTTAGGCGTCGCTGTCGCCGCAGGGTGAACGTCGGGTTAAGCTCCTCCGGGCGAAAGTGATCGTCGTCGTCATCGTTGTCGCCGACGGCAGCACCGCCATAGTCGTGTGATATGAGGCCTGCGCGGGCAAGCGACGATTCCTGTGATGGCGACACAACAGAAGGGAGGTCACTGCTGGGGTAGTAGTGCGAGCCTGCCTGCATGCCCGGATCGAGGGCACCACCGCCTCTGCCATCGCTGATGCCGTTGTCAACAGACAGCAGCATGGCTCCGAGGGAGCCGTTGGAAGGGAGGCGGGCAAACGACGTCTCATTCGTTGTTGCCGCAGTAGCGCCGCCATCATCTGCAGGGCGAGACGCGGCGCTGGCGCTGGCGGGGGCCACTTTGCTCTTGCGGTGGTGCCCGCCGTGCTTCTTGCCCGGCTGCGCTTGCTGCTGGTGCTTGTGCTGGTGCTGCTTCTTCTTCTTCTGCGCGTCTGTATGACGAGGGCTGCTGCTGCTCGTGCTGCTGCTGGCGGCAGGCTGCCCAGCCGGCTTCTTCTTGGCCTTGTGCTCCTTGTGCTTCTCTGGGTGGCTGGGTGAGCTGTGCTTGCCTGATTTCCCATGGTGTTGCTGCTGATGGCGATGGCGGTGCTTGTGCGGGTCTTTGTGGTGGGGCCGACCATGGTGACGATGGTGGTGATGGTGCGACTGGGCGCGGGGTCGGTCGTGTGGCCTGGCCTGGGGACGCGCTCTCGCCGCTGTGCGTACGGTGCGCGATCGACATAGCACGGCAACGGTGGCAGTTGTTTGTGTTGACGGATGTGGACGATGAGGATGGCGGTGTTGACGGATGTGACCATGGGGTTCAAGTGCAATGTAGGTCCAGATGATGTGAGTGAGCGAGGGAGCAAGTGGAAAAGGTGTGCAAGGCGGGGAGGACCAGGGTCTCACACGCTTGACGACAACGTCAGCAGACCATCAGCACACGGAACCATGCAAACACAGCGGGACCTTGAGCGCTGGCGCTGACCTTGTGAGTGGGCGCTGGCGCTCTCGCTCCGCGTCAGCTCAACTCCATCATCATCGTCATCCTCAATCCATTGCGGGCGGCGGCGAGCCATGATGACGACAAGCTGAGGGTGAAGGGTGTGGCTGGTGCTGCGCAGGTCGCGAATCCAAACCGAGGTCGGAAATCTACAGCACAAAGTGCATTTTGCACTTGTTGCAGGCTGCTTTGCGCGCACACCGACAACATGGGTCGCGGGATGACGATGCTTGGCTCCAGCGCCGTGATCATTGGGATTGGCGTCGCGCTGCTCAAGTACGCCACGCCAGAGCCAGAGGACGTGCTCAAGGTGAGCCATGGCATGGCGCAGCTCTTGTTGTGTGATGTTTGCATGTGCTTTTGGGTGCATCCTTTTTTGGTGGTGTCGTTTGTGTGTGTATATGATGAACCTTTGGTAGTTTGTGAGAGTGTACGGGTCCCTTCAGTACTCTCGCGTGTGCTTGATGTTGTGCTGCGTGGGTGACAGCCTTAATCTACTGCGTGACTTGTTTGCTGGTCACTGTGCTCTTTGGTGTGGTTGCTGTGTGCCGTTTGTTGTTTTCTTGCTTCTGTCGCCACTCACACATTCTCCCACACTGTCATGGTGTGCTACTGTGCTCTTTGCTGCGACCTTGTAGGACATGCCGGCGCACATTCGAAGGCGAGAGTTGGATAAGATGGAGGACAGGCACAGGAATAACATTGCTCTCATGGAGGCCATCAAATCAAGTCAGTTAGGGCCTGCTTCAATGCATGCACGCGTGCACTGCTATGAATGTGTCACAAATGGGCTGTGTACATGCACTGTTGAAACGCGATTGACTTCAAAGGAGGTGGAGCAAAAAGATGTACTTCTCACGCCCACTTGCGCCTCTCTCCGTGCACAACGTGCCTGCTTTGCGCTTCTCTCCTTTCTTGGGTGCACGACATGCCTGCTTTTGCGCTGCTGTTTGCTGTTTGCTGGCCAACAACCCACCCGCATATCCGACTACAGGTGCCGACATCAAGAAAGATTGAGGCTGCGTTATGTAAAATTTGTGTACATCTTGCTTTGCTTTTCGTAAATCCAAAAACCGTCAGCCAAAGCAACTGCAACCAAACAACCAATCGATTGGCTGGCCAAGCGAGCGAGTGCTTGAGGGAGTGCAGCAGAGGATAACACAACAGCCACACGCAGCCAAGCAGAGGGAACGGGCGACCATGTCATCATACGAGCTGGACGAACAAGTCCACCAGGTATGCATGGATACACAGCTGACTCTGTGTGTGGTGTGTGCGGGTGTGTATGTTGCAGCGATTGTTCAGCGAGTGCAGCTTGGAAACTACACCAAACAAGCCACCCATGAATGGTGTTGATGGTGCCTTGCTTGCTTGCTTGTTGTTGTTGTTGTTGTTGTTGTTGTTGTTGTTGTTGTTGTTGTTGTTGTTGTTGTTGCTGCTGTTGTTGTTGTTGTTGTTGTTGTTGTTGTTGTTGTTGTTGTTGCTGTTGTTGTTTGTTTGGTTTGCTTGGCTAACTGCTTGCTGCTTGTTTGTCCGCCAGGCTGGCATCAACTTTTACGCTCGCCTCGGATACTGGCGACATGTTCAGATTGCCGTCAAACAAGGGGTGCGTCACAAGCACTCACACTTGCCTAAGAATGGCACCGCCCTGTCGCTGTTGTTCATAATTGTTGTCAGTTATTGTGTGCCCTCGAGAGTGAAACCGCCGTGCATGCAGCTTTGGAGCGTGCTTTTTCCTCTGCGTTCATCTCATGGTCAACATCGTCGTCACCGCCCTTTTATTTGTTACCTCCTGTTTCCTGTGATAGCTGAAGAAGCTTGGCAACGATCCCGTCATGCACCTGTGGAATGGCTTTTCCCAAGTCATGGACAGTACGTTGCCTGCAGTATGTGTTTGAGAGCAGTACGTTGCCTGCAGTATGTGTGTGAGAGTGCGTGTACCTGTGTGTGTGTGTGTGTGTGTGTGTTTGTCTGTACGTGTGTATGTCTGTACATCTGTGTGAGTGTCTGTGTTTGTCTTTGTCTCACTCCTCATTCTCACTCACTCACTCCTCATCCTCACTCACTCCTCATCCGCACTCACTCATTCATCTCATTTCTGTAGGTGCACAGCGGCCAGAGGGCATCCGCAACCTGCAGAAGCTCGTGGACAGCCGGGACGTTGGTATTGCCGCCGTTTTGGGTCTCATCCACGCGCACAAGCAAGCAGACATTGTGGACAAGGACGCCGTCAAAGACCTCGAGGTGTGCAAAGTGTGTGTGTGTGTGTGTGTGTGTGTGTGTGTGTGTGTGTGTGTGTGTGTGTACAATGTGTGTGGTTTGAGAGCGTGCTGGTGGTTGGATCATCTCTCATTTCCTCGCTTCCATCTCCCTCCCTCTCTCTCTCTCTCTTCTGTTCACGCCACCACCAACAACAACCGGCCGGCAACTCTGCAGGGGCGGTTCAAGGCCGGGCTGAAGGAGAGCGGGGAGGTGTCGCTGCATCAGGCTGCGCTCGTCATGTGGCACACGGGCAAGACCGACAAGGCCCGCGATATCGTCGACAAGATGCTCAAGCTCAATAACGCCTCCTCAGAGTACGCTCATGCGTGTGTGTGTGTGTGCGTGCGTGTGTGTGTGTGCGTGTGTGTGCGTACGTGTGTGTGTGTGCGTACGTGTGTGTGTGTGTGTGTGTGCTGGTGTCCTCAATGGCGTTATGTTTCAGCACATTGGACGTGAACGCTGCATGTTTATCCTCACACCAATACCACCGCCACCCTCGCCACCACCACCGCCAGCGGGCTGGCGACACGCGGGTGGATCGACATCACGAGCGGGCGCGAATCCCACGCGAAGAAGTCCATCAAGTACTTTGAGGAGGCTCTCAAGCCCTTCCAAGGTGCGGCCAATGCTGCTGCTGGTGCTGCTGCTGGTGATGGTGTTGGTGGCGGTGTTGGTGATGCAGTTTGTTGGTCGTGCTGATGTGCGATGTGTTGTGAGGTTGCTGTTCTTGCCGCATTGTGTTTGCTGGTATTGCTGTTCTGGTCGTGCTAAGCGTCTTAAGCTCAACGTCGATCAGTCTGTCCGGCTCACCACCACCTCCTCCTTCTCCTCCCTGCCTCGCACCATCATGACCACCACCACCACAACAAACAACAAACAACAACAACAAACAAACAAACAAACAAACAAACAAACAAACAAACAAACAAACAAACAAACAAACAAACAAACAAACAAACAAACAAACAAACAAACAAACAAACAACAAACAACAAACAACAAACAACGCCCTCCATGTGCCAGGCCGGAGCGACCAGACGCACCTCGAAGCGCTGCTGGGCAAGGCGGAGTTTATGCTCTCCGTCAAGCACAACTACGACGATGCACTTGTGCTGCTGAACCAGGCCGTCGCCCTCTTCCCGACGTTCATCCCCGCGCTCATTGCAAAGGCGTGGGCGCACCTTGCCCTCAACGACTGGGACGGCGCGCTGGACACCACGCGCCGCTGCACCAACATCAACCCAGACTGCATCCCCGCCCTCCATATCCAGAGCCTGTGCATCCTCGCACGCACAGGCCAATACGAGGAGGTGCGCTGGTGTGTGATGTTGTTGTTGTTGTTGTTGTTGTTGTTGTTGTTGTTGTTGTTGTTGTTGTTGGTTGTCGTCGTCGTCGTCGTCGTCGTCGTCGTCGTCGTGCGTGTGTTTGCCTGTTCTTGCATCATCTCCTTTCACTCACCTCCCTGGTCCCCATGTGTCGACGCTTGTTTGTCCTGTACCCGTCTGCCAGGCTGCGGGCGTGCTTGGCAAAATCATCACCATCCTCGACAACGTCGAGCCGCAGAGCCACCGCCTCTACTACAACGTGAGACCACCCTAACTCACCCATGTCCTGCCTGTGCCTACTTGTTTGCCTTTGCATTTGTGCTTGTGCTTGTGTTTGTGTTGAGCATCTCATGTCACTTCATGCGCACGCGCTGAGACCACGCGTTCTCTCCGACTCGCCTCTCTCTGTCTCTCTCTCTCTCTGTCTCTGTCTCTGTCTCTCTCTCTCTCTCTCTCTCTCTCTCTCTCTCTCTCTCTCTCTCAAACGCGCAAACAAACGCGCAAACACACACACACAACCCCCCCCCCCCCCAATGCAGCTGAGCCGGGCGCCTGCGCGCGTTTCTGGGCGGAACCAGCAGGTGCTGCAGCAGACGCGGACGATGCTTGACCGCGCCATGCAGATGGACAACACCGTTGCCGTCTACTTTGAGGAGATGGCCCACCAGCAGCTCATGCGCGATCACGTACGCACTTGTTGCTCACACACGCACACACACACGCACACACACAAACACATGTGCGCATTCACTTGTACGTGCATTCTTGTCGCAACATTGTTCCTGCTGCACTCACCCCGCTATTTCGAACACACGATTCACACACTCACTCCACACGTGAGCAGCAAGGCGCTGCGCACAAGCTGTACAAGAAGGCGATGCAGCTTGACGAGTCGAGCGTGGGTGCTCTGCACGGCATCATCCACTGCCAGATCCTCATCGGTCAACTTGACGACGCGCAGACACAGCTCGACTTCCTCTCCGAGATCCAGGTGTGTGTTTGCCTGTGTGTGTGTATGTATGTGTGTTTGTGTTTGCCTGTGTGTGTGTGTTTGCCTGGTTGCCTGTGTGCGTGTGTTTGCCTGGTTTGTGTATGTGTGTGTGTGTGTGTTTGTTTGTTTGTTTGTTTGTTTGTTTGTTGCTAGTTGTGGCGTACAAGGTTCATACGCGTGGGTGCGTGCTCGGAAACAACATTGCTGTCACGGATGGCCCACTTGACTTCCTTCTCACCCCTGCAATCACCATCGCCGTGCCATGTTACGTCACATCCCATCAAACCACATCAGGCCTCTGCTGAGACGTCTGCGGAGCTGTGCTATCTGCGCGCCCTGCTCAGCAGCAAGCGCAACGACCCTGTTCCCGACACCACAAAACTGCTGGACACGGCCGTCAAGGCGCACCTCACAACCATCAAGACGAAGGTGACATGTCGTGATGAGTGTGCGTGCATGCTGTGTGTGTGCGTGCATGCGTGCGTGGGCGTGTGTGTCTGTGTGTGTCTGTGCGTCTGTCCTTCCTTCTGTGTGTCTGTGCATCTGTCCTTCCTTCTGTGCGTCTGTGTGAGGGGAGGTAAGGGCAAGGGCAGTCTGAAAACACTCTGCCTCTGATGCCGTTGTCCACACGTCACCTGTTCTCCTCCGCACCGTTGCATCCCATATCACCACCTTCCCTCCTCATCACCACCCCTTGCAGGCGCCATCCCCGACGTACTTCCTCGAGCTGCAGCCCGAGCTGCTCGTCAGCATCGCCAAGCTCTATCTCCAGTACGCTCCCGCCCACCCGCCGACCTCTGGCGACGCAGCCTCGCCCATCCTGGACAAGGCGAGCATGCCGCTGGAGGCCCTGGTCAAGCTGTGTCCGGGATGCATTGAGGCCGCGTATCTCCTCGCCCGCGTGCGCTTCCTCAGCGGCGATCTTGTGGCCGCACAGAGTGGCGCGCAGCACTGCCTCAAGATGAACACCGGCTTCACGGAAGCACACCTCCTCATGGCCGAGGTGCGCTGTCGTGGTGGCTTTGTTTTGGGGGTGGAAGTAGCTCATGCCGTGGGTGCTGCGTGTTTCCGAACGACACGCTGCCCCCCTCCACACACACATGGTCGCACATACTCACACACACGGTCGCACATACTCACTCACATACTCACTCACACACACTCACACACTCACACACTCGCACACTCACACACTCACACTCGGTCGCACTCACTCACATACTCACTCACTCACTCACTCACATACTCGCACACACACACACACTTACTCACTCACTCTCTCTCTCTCTCACACACACTCACACACCCGCTTCTCTTGTCTCCACAACAGATCCAACTTGCGATGGGCAACTACGGCACGGCGTTGCAGGCGCTGCAGAACGGACTGAGCTACAACTTTGAGATCCGGGACCTGCCGCTGTACCACGTGCTGCAGGCGCGCATCCACCTCGCCGAGGACAAGACCACTGACGCCCTCAAGAGCATGCAGGCCGCCATGAAGATCCCTGGGGTCCGCAAAGTCGGTGCGTGAGAATGGCTGGTTCGTTGGCTGGTTCGTTGTGTGTGTGTGTGTGTTTATATGGCGCTCTTGTGCGTGTGTGTGTGATGGTGATGCTGACGATTGTGGTGATGCTTGTTGCGTCACGGTTTTGACCTGAACGTTGCTTCATCTCTCGTGCACAACACCGAACTGTGCAGTGCAAAACACGAAGACGAGCCGGCCTGTGAAGCGGTCTGCGCCCGTTACAGATCGCGTCACGGTGTTCCTGACGCTCGCCGACGTGCATATTGCTGCCAACCGCCTCAACGACGCCGCCAAGGTCCTTACCGAGGCCGAAAACCAGTTCAGGGACACCGCAGAGGCTGTCAGGTACACAACGTGCTCCTCCTTTGCTGATTGTTTGTTTCTTTGTTTGTAGACTGTCTTGTCACACTACATGGGTGTGAACTAGCTGGCAATTCACGTCGTGTCGTCGCTTCAACAACACATTGCGCCATGCCATACCGCACATCGTTCACACAACCACAACCGCATCCACATCCCCGCGCCCGTGTCCACGTGTGCAGGGTGACCCTGGCCCAGTCTGAGCTTGCGCTGAAGCGTGGGGACGTTGAAGGCGCCCTTGACCTTCTCCGCGGAGTTGGGCGTGAGGAACCGTACTACATCCAGGTCCGTCCTACCAGTAGTTTGCAGCTGCTGCTGCTGGTGTTGGTGCTAGTGGTGACGGTGCTGGCGCTTGTGCCGGTTTGTTGCGTGGTGTAATGCATACGCCCTCTTTGAACCATGTTTATGCATCATGTTGCGACGACAGGCAAAGGAGAAGATGGCGCACATCTACCTGCACCACCGCAAGGATAAGCGGGTGTACGCGGCATGCTACAAGGAGCTCGTCGAGCAGAACCCAACCAGTGCGTAGCCTTTGAACGTGTGGTCGGAGAGGGCTCGCGCTGGTGTCAAGTACTTGCAGTGCGTGGTGCGCCTCGTCTACTGGTGGACACCAGCACGCACGGCACGGTGTCGGCCTGTGCATATGTTTGTTCATCGCATGCACGCGCACGGCCTCACCCTTGCGTGCCTTGCTTTGCCAGGCCACTCGTATCTGCTGCTTGGCGATGCGTACATGGCCATCCAGGAACCAGACAAGGCCATCAACGTGTACGAGACTGCGCTCAAGCAGAACCCACGCGATGGTGCGGTCTTTTTCATCGTCATGCAGTTGTGTATGTGTGTGTGTGTTTGTTTGTTTGTTTGTGTGTTTGTGTGTTCGTTTGTTTGTTTGTGTGCGTGTGTTTGTGTTTTGTTTGTTTGTTCGTTTGTTTGTTTGTGTGCGTGTGTTTGTGTTTTGTTTGTTTGTTTGTTTGTTTGTTTGTTTGTTTGTTTGTGTGTGTGTGTTTGCTGTCTTGTTTATTTGTTGCCTTCACGTGTTGCCTTCATGGGATTTTGTTGTTTTGTCTGTGCTGCCATGCTGCCCTTCAAAGCTTTCTTGCCAGCTCAGTTCTCGCAATAACTCCAATGTCGTGTGTGTTTTCATGGTTGCTTGCAGGCACGCTCGCGAGCAAGATTGGCGCTGCACTTGTGCGGACACACGACTTCAACCGGGCCATCAAGTATTACGAGGCGGCGGTGAAGAACGGGGAGCAGCCGCACCTCCGCTCTGCACTCGCCGAGCTCCACCTCAAGCTCAAGAACTTTGACAAGGCCAAGCGCGTACGTGGACACGTCTGTCTGCGTCTGTGTGTGTGTGTGTGTGTGTGTGTGTGTGTGTGTGTGTGTGTGTGTGTGTGTGCGTGCGTGCGTGTGTGTGTGTGTGTGTGTGTGTTTGCCTCTGACTCTCTGTCTGTGTGCGTGTTGGAACTCAACCCCGCCAAGGCCTCGATGTTGTACAAAAATGTTGCACATCGCATACGCCAATCCAGCACCCTAATTATATCCTCTCCCCTCCTCCTCCTCCTCCTCCTCTGCTTCCCATCAGGTGCTTGAGGATGCGCTTGCCTCGTCCAACCAGGACACGATTGAGGGCATGGTGCAGACCGTCAAGGACTACGAGATGCTCGCCCGTGTGCACAAGCAGTCCACGGACATCTCTGCCGCCATTGACACGCTGCAGCGTGCACGCAAGCTGCAGTCCCAGGTCATCTCGCGCGTGTCGGCCGAGCAGCCGGAGTCGCTTAAGCAGCAGCAGCAGACGGCTGCAGGTACGGCGCACCTTACTTGTTTGGAAGCGGGTGGTGTTGGTGTGAACGTTTGTGTTTGAGTTGAGCACTTCGTACTCGTGTCTTTCACTGTATACACGCACTCAGTGACTCACTCCATCACGCACACACTCACTCAATCACACACTCGCACACCCTGCTCCACCACCTCCTCAGAGCTGTCGTTCCAGATTGCCAAGTACTATGAGGAGGACGAGCACAACTACAGCAAGGCGACGGCGGCGTACCAGGAAGCGCTGTCGTTTGACCAGGCCAACTCCCGCGCCATGCTTGCCCTGGCCAAGCTGCACCTTGACCGAGGCGACCTCGAGGCTGCCCAGTTCCAGCTGTCGCCGCTGCTGCAGCAGGGCGCGCTGCTGTCTGCGCAGGAGCAGGGCGAGGCAGCAATGATGATGGCCGACATCATGTTCCGCAAGCACGAGTATGACTCTGCCACGTTCCACCTGCAGCAGCTGCTGGACAAGCAGCCCGAGCACTACGAGGCGTTGTCGCGTTTGATTGACCTCAATCGCCGCGCGGGGAAGCTGGACGCCTGCGACAAGTACATCACCCAGGCCGAAACCGCCTGCGCACGCCCCGAGACGGAGCCAGGCCTCAACTACTGCCGCGTACGTGACGCCATGTTGACTTGTGAGGGAGCAGGAGCGGTGGTGGTGGTGGTGGTGGTGGTGTGTGTGTGTGTGTGTTTGGTTGTGTGTATGTCTGTGTGTTGGGGTTTCGCTTGCATGCTGCTACTCCACTTGTTGTTTATGCCACAGTCCTCACATGCAACCACCCTCCTCCAACCCACCGACCGCGACGACAACAGGGTGTGCTGCGGCGGTACCAGCAGCGGCCAAACGAGGCGCTCAAGGCGCTGAACAAAGCGCGCAAGGACTCCGACTACGGCGTCAAGGCCCTTTACCACATGGTCGAGATCTGCCTCAACCCAGATGACACCTCCCTCGGCACCTCGGAGCCAACCGCTGCTGGGTGCGGCTGAGTGGGCTTGTGCGTGCGTGTGCGCGTGCGTGCGTGTGCGTGCGTGTGTGCGTGTGTGTGTGTGTGTGTGTGTGTGCGTGCGTGTGTGCGTGCGTGCGTGTGTGTGTGTGTGTGTGTGTGTGTGTGTCTTGCCTGTCTTGTCTGTTTGTCTGTGGCATTGGCACTGGGTCGCCGTGGCGGGTGATTCTACCGCTGTCCACCCCACCCAGTGACATTCCCTCTTGAGTGGCTTGCTGTCCTTCTTTGACCTCACCCCTCCTCGCTCGCCCTCACCATGCCATGCCGCCGCCACGCGACCAGTGACTCGGCCTCTGAGGCGCTGCAGATGGGCGCAAAGACCGCAGAGAAGCTCCTCGCAGAACTCGCCTCCCTTGGCGAGAGCTCAAAGGTGTGTGTCTTTGTGTGTGTGTGTGTGTGTGTGTGTGTGTGTGTGTGTGTGTGTGTGTGTGTGTGTGTGTGTGTTGTGTGTTGTGCGTGCCAGCGTTGATTTCAGCTTCATGTCTGTTTGCCTTGCATAAATCTGCACGTGTGACTCACTTCTGCTTGTCGAACACACACTCACACACACCATCCATGCAACACCTCCCCTGTTTGTTATGTCCATCCATGTCCGTGTGTTTCAGCTCAAGTACAAGCTGCTGCAGAACTATGCGCTTGCAGCGAGCAAATCCAAGCAGCAGATGGAAAAGGCCCTCGCGAACTTCACCGCCCTCGCCAGCGAACAGGTCTGCACATTTGCACTGGAACCTGTTGTTGTTGTTGTTGTTGTTGTTGCTCTTGTTGTTGTTGTGCTTCTTCTTCTTCTCCTCCTCCTCCTCCTCCTCCTCCTCCTCCTCCTCGATCTCCTTGTCCTCGTTGCTGGTGTTGTCTTGACCGTTGATGTACCGCGTCAGCTCGTGTGGTTGTGCATGCTTGTGTTAGTCGTGTTCATCCGCTTCACTCGCGCTCACTCCTGATCAACGCAACGACACCTCCTCCGACACCCTCCTCGTCCGCCAACAACCGTGCGTGCAGCGGGAGGAGGTTGGGGCGATCCTGGGCATGGCGCGCACGTACATGCAGCTGAAGAACACACCAAAAGCGCGCCACCAGCTCAAGCGCGTGACGAAACTCGAGTGGAACTCCGACGACGCAGAGGAGTTTGAGGTGTGCTGCTGCCCTGTCGTTTGCTTTGTTGAGTTGTGTTTAGGCTTGATTGTGTTTGAGTTGTCTCAACGCAATTTGCTCGTGTGCTGGAATCGGGTGGTGTACTCGTGACAGCTGCTTCTGCTCGTTTCTCCCTGATCCACAACGATTGATGCGGATGGGCCTGTTTTGTCTAAACGCCAACTTCTCACACGTGTGCCTGCGCGTGGGATATGTTCCTGTGTCCGTCCGTTTGTTGGGTGTGTCCATGCGTACGTGTGTGAGCAGGGGGCGTGGCTGCTGCTGTCGTACATCTACATCAACAGCGGCAAGTACGATCTGGCACAGGATCTCCTTAAGAAGATTCTTCAGCACAACAAGGTGCGTCATGGAAGGCTGCTGCTGCTGCTGTTCTTGTCCTCGTTGTTCTTGCTGTCATTCTTGTTGCTGTTGTTGTCGTTAGCTCACCCTTGGCTTTAATTGCTTGCGTGCTGTCGTGTGTGTTGCACGTGTCTGCAGAGCTGCAGCAAGGCGTGGGAGTACATGGGATACATCATGGAGAAGGAGCAGTCATATGCGGTGAGCACCAGTGTTGTCGAGCGGTTCTTCCTTGTTCACGTCCTGCACACACACACACACACACACACACACACACACACACACACACACACACACACACACTGACACTGTGTCTGCTGTGTGTGTGTCTGTTTGCGTTTCGTCTGCGCGTTTAGAATGCTGCTGAGTTTTACGAAAACGCGTGGAGCTTCAGCACGGCCGCGGATCCGGCCGTCGGGTACAAGCTCGCCTTCAACTACCTCAAGGCCAAGCGCTTCGTCGACGCCATCGACATCTGCCACGCGGTTTGTCTTGTTGGCACGTCGCGTATTGTGCAATGCTCTGTGTGTGTGTGTCTGTATGTTTGTGTGTGTGTCTGTCTGTCTGTCTGTCAGTCTGTCTGTCAGTCTGGCTGTCTGTGTGTGTGTGTGTGTGTGTGTGTGTGTGTGTGTGTGTGTGTGTGTGTGTGTGTGTGTGTGTGTGTGTGCATCCCCCTTCCCATTTCCCTGTTCGCCGGGTCCTCAACTCGGGACCCCCCCCCCACAACAACATTGGTCCTGTTTGCAGGTGCTCAAGGCAAACCCCGACTACCCGCGCATCCGCAAGGACATTCTGGAGAAGGCGAGAATGGGGCTCAAGAACTAACAAGAAGAAAGATGAGACACGCATTCACATGCACTTGGGTGCTGCTGTTGTTGCTGTTTGTTCGTTCCTTCTTCTTTTCTTCTGCGTTTGTTGTGGATTTGTGTATTGCTGTGCGTGTCGCATCCGTTGCTTCGAGCTGACAATCTTGTGTGTGTGTGTGTGTGTGTGTGTGTGTGTGTGTGTGTGTGTGTGTGTTGATTTTGTTTGTTTACAACTTCTCTCTGCATTGATTCATTTCACCGCAATCCCATCACGATACAACGTTCATCCTTGCACAAATTGACCCAAGCAAACAAGCAAGCATCCATTATCAAGGGGTTGTGGTGCGTCACAAGCAAATAACAAGCAGGCGCCCAGCCAGGGCGATCAATGAGTACAGACAGACGCGAGATTGAGTAACAGACGCAACACATACTGGTGTTGAGCTACGATGGTTGCAGTGACGCGTCGAAATCGTATGTGATGTTGGTGGCAAGGCACGTTCTGAACTTGTCGTCAAAGCTGCCGAGCGTGTAGTGTGGCGACCGCTGGTAGATGTGCAGGCCACGCCCAAGCCGGACCACGAACCCGTTATTGAACTTTGCTTGCCTGAACGCGGCATCGTGGACACGCGAGGGTGCACAGTGAGCAAAGACAGAAGGGCGCATGGTAAAAGTTGAGATGAGTAGGTGCGCAAACTGGCGAAAGTGCATACAAGTCGGTGCACACATATCGTATGCACGCACGCACGCACGCACGCACGCACACGCACATGGTTGTTGGTTTCCATACACACATGCACGTAGTTGTTGGTTTATATACACCCAACCACACACACACACACACACACACACACACACACACACACACACACACACACACACATAAACACTCGTGCACACATAAACACTCGTGCATACACGCGCAAATACCGGTCGTGAAGATCCCCGCGAATGTTGACATGAAGCGTCATTCCGTGCTCGCGCAATGACGCTTTGAGTGTGTGGACTGAGGCGTCGCGCAAGCTGTGATGTTGGATGCGTTGTTGTTGTTGGTGGTGGTGGTGGAGGTGACAAGTTGTCACATACGAAAGGGTTGGATGTGTGAGGTGGAGGAGGAGGGTGAAGATGAACGGGAATGTTCGTGGCATGTGCCGGGCACACAAGTACACGCGTGTGTGCATGCAGCACAACACAACACACACACACACACACACCACACACACACGCACACACACACAACACACACACACACGCACACATACGCACTCACGTGGTACTCACGAAATGTCGTCGCCGCGCGGGTTGGTGGTGTGGACTCGAATCACCTTCACTTCATTACGAGCACACAACTCGCAGAAGCGTGTGAGGTTGTGCAGCTGGTATGGTTTGCACAGATAAGGCTCGTCCAATGTCACTTCTGTCGCCCGTTGCATGACAGGACCAAAGATGGACTGCATTTGCGTTGGCAATGACGAGGGCAAGTGGAAACCGCAGACGGATTCAGAATGAATGCAGACGCTGATGATGGTCGCTCAAACGACAAGTGAAAGGGCAGACGCAGAACAAAACAAGGTGTACCACACACACACACACACACACACACACACACACACACACACACACACACACACACACACACACACACACACACACCTCGTAGGAGTGGCCTGTGGTCCCCTGTGCAATCTCCAGCCGCTTTGATGCCAGCTTGGCCAACTGCTTGAGATCCTGCGGGTGCAAGTGTGTGGTCGTGTGAACAATGGCGATCGGTGACGTTGTGGGTGTCATGTGTGTGTGTGTGCTGATGCTAACCGTCGCCACAAGCCAGTGCGCACGCCCACGCACAAACACGCCCACACACACACACACACACACACACACACACACACACACACACACACACACACACACACACACACACACACACACACACACACACACACACACACACACACACACACACACACAAACACACACGCACGCACGCACACCTCAAGGGCATCGAGGTAGCGCTTCACGCTCACAAGGAGCCTTTGTCTGCTCTCTTCGGATGTCATGGCCTTGGCGGCGTCCAGCAGCACCTTGATGGTGCACTCAAGCCTGGATGATAGAGGGGGAGGAGGGAAGACAACACAGCCATCATGTCAACCAACACACGCACACACACATACACACACACACATACACACACGAGCGCACGCGCAAACACACACACATGTACACACGCACACACACACATGTGCGTACTTGGCCGCTGCTTCCTGGACGCGGCCTTTGGCCCGGAGGTCCTTGGCTTCCAGCGCCATCACCTGCGCCGTCTGGATCGTGGGTGGTTGCGACGACATCGTTTGCGGTTGTTGGTTGCTTGGTTGATGATGAGTCATCGAAAGCATTTGGGGTGGTCCTTCCAACTGTTCGGTCATGCTCATAGGCTCACTCACTTCACTCCACCTACACCGCTCCTCTTCATCTTCAAGCCCTCCTCACGCACACCTCATAAGGCGAGACACAGCACCTTGTTCACGTGGGACAGCCCTCGTCTCCCTTTCTCTTGGCAGTTGACTGCCCTTGCCAGTCTGCTAGTAGACTGCCTTCGTTTCACTTTGCAAGCTTGTACTTCGTTCGCCCAAGCAGAGCAACACAAACGAAAACGATGAAACGACCGAACGACACACGAGAACGCTGATACTCCTGCCAACCCTTCGACAGGGCAGAACACCCAACTAAAACCCCCCACAGAAGACAACATGATAACACTCGATGTTAACACGCAACGGCAAGAGAGAAAAGACAAGAGGTCAACAAAAGAACAAAGCAAGCAGGCGGGCGACAAGAGGACAAGGCAACATGGCAAGAAGAGAACAGAAGAACAGGCGCGCCTTGGCGCATTGAAGAGGTACTGTATCCAAAGTTCTAAGCACGCAAACGTAGTGCTGACCCAGAAACGAAGCACTCTAAGCACTGGAGCACTCCTCTCCAACTGCAGCACTTCAACAGGGAAGTTCGGCTGTGACACCATGAAACACGCACACACATGGGCAACCACACATCCACACATCTACACATGCATGCACTAACCAAGTGCATCAGGCAAGCTTGTCGCGCAACGTGTCAAAAGGTGGCCTTTCGCTTGCTTCCCCGTCCATGCACTCCAGCGCCAAGTCCTGGTACCACTGCGGAATGGCGCCTTCTGCTCAGCAGCACATGCCGAGAACATGTGTGTGGGGGGGGGCACGTGGGTGAGAAACATGTGTGCGTGTGTGTGTGTGTGTGTGTGTGTGTGTGTGTGTGTGTGTGTGTGTGTGTGTGTGTGTGTGTGTGTGTGTGTGTGTTGAGGGCGTGCATTTGAGTAGATGACAAACAAGAGTGGATGCTACATACATACATACATGCACGCACACGTATATGCACACACCTGGATCGTCAAAACGAAGGCGCTTGCCGGAGGTGAGCAATGCTTCCAATGTCAGCAGCATTGGTCCGCGGAACTTGGGATACTCTTGCTTGATGATGTCTGGTGTGCGTTGCATGGCAATCTCCCACAGCAGCACGCCAAAGCTGAACACGTCGGCCTTGCTGTCGTAATCCCCACCAGCGAGAACCTCCGGCGCCATGTACAAGGGCGTGCCGACGCCAACCGTTAGGCTGAGTTTGAGGGTCTGCCCGCCCAGCTGCTGCGAATACGGCAATTCCTCGGGTCCCTCCTCAGTTCTGGGCATCTCAGCAGACAGCTTCTGGCGCACGGACCCGAAATCCGAAATCTTTGCGCGCAGCTTGCTTGACACAAGCACGTTTCCGCTCTTCAGATCCCTGCGCGTGATGTGCATGTATGTGTGTGGGTGTGTTTGTGGGTGTGCGCGTGTATGTGTGTGTGTATGCATGCGCGCATGTGTGTGTATGTATGTGTGAACATGAAGCTGGGAACGATGTCAAGACTTGCAACAGCGCACAAGGCAACAAGAAGCAACCGTCTGGCAGTGCTCCACCCCTCATCCAACCCTCACCCCCCCCCCCCCCACACACACACACGTGCACACACAGACACACATGCGCGCATGCACCTGTGGAACTGGTCGAGGCTGTGGATAAAGGCCATGCCACATGCGACGTCGCAAGCCAGGCGCTGCTTCAGCTCCCACACGGAGGTGAAGTGAATTTCGCCGGCCATCATGGAATCACGCTTGTTCACAACAATCAGGCCTTGCTCCTCGTCCACGTCCATGTTTCCACTGCTGAAGGAAGACCCGACGCTGTGGTGCCGCATGGCATTGTCTGCCAACACCTCGTGCAGATCACGCTTGAGCAGGTCCTTGAGCGAGCCCAAGGGCACAAACTCCAGCACCATGAACGGCGACTCATCTGGGGTTGAACCCGCCCCGAAGAAGCGCACCACGTGTGGGTGGCGTGTGCGCTGCAGGAAGGAAACCTCCTTCTCAAACTCCACCTGCGTGCTGGCGTCAAACAGCGCCACGCTGTGGTTGAGCACCTTCACAGCAACAAGCAAGGCGTCCCACTCGGCCTTCCACACATCACCAAAGGCGCCGCTGGCAATGGGGTCGAGGAAACTCAGCTGGTCGTAGTCAATCTCCCACCCGGACTTGAGTGCCAGTACCTCGGCATCCTTCTCCACCAGCAACGCCTGGTCCAGGTCGCGCTGCTTGCGGAATCTGCGCATGCGGCGGCGATAGCCAAGGCGCGTGACGTAGATGCACAAGGGCATGACGGCAAACAGCACGCCCAGCGTAATCTCCAGCGTTGGCGCGCGCTTCTTGTGACAGCGCTCGCCGCGTCGCCGGTACCCGCTGGCGCAGCGGCATTCGTGGGTGTAGCCAACCTCGGACGTCAGCGACGTCGCCTCGCCTTTGCGGGCGCGCAGGCTGTGCAGCTGCAGCCTGCACTCGACGGGCGTGTCGCCAAGAGACAGGATGGGAATGTGGTCGCGGTTCGGCAGGGTCACGCCACTTAGCGTGGTGAGGGACTGCTGGGAGACACCGGTCAGCTCGTCGGTTGCGGCGCGCATGACGTCGAGGTTGTTCAGCCAGGGGTTGTCGCTCATGTCCACCACAAGCGCCACGCTCAAGCACCGCTCAATCATCTCCAGGAAGTGCACTTTCGGTGCAGTCGTCATGTTGCGCATGTTGCGGGCGAAGAGGGCGCGCGTGCCCCAGATGGTGCAGATCATGGTTTTGACAGGCACGCGCGTGCCGCTGATGTCGAGCACGTCAATTTCGGCTGCGTGGATGGTGTCCAACTGCGAGCAGCCGGACACATTGAGGTGCCTCACATCACGGTCGACTTCAAACGTGGTAAGGGCCACGTTGCTCTGGAGCTGCACACTCTCGTACAGCTTGCTGCGAGGCAGCGCGATTGACGAAAGCCCCGTGTGCGTGATGGCGAGCTCCTCCACCTCATCGTCGAGCATGTCGCGCAGATCTGACAGCAGCGGGTTCTTGTCGTGCAGGCCTGGCCAGCCAATGCCAAAGCTCCGCAAACGAATGCCCTGGAACGGGAGGAGGTCCGGCACCACCATGGCGCGTACGTCCAGGTGCTTCAGGTTGCGCATGCTGTGCTGCAGGGAGGCGAGGATGTTGCTGTCGTAGACGAGGGTGCTGTGCACGTGATCTGCGCCCGGGTCGATCTGCGCCGCCACCTGCAGCGTGGTGAGGTTGTGGTTGTTGCGTAGGACGTCCAAGCGGACATCGGCCAGCCGGTGCCAGTTCATGCTGAGGGTGTGCAAGTTGGACAGCTGCTCCAGGCCCTCAATCTGCTGAATCGGGTTCTCGTCGAGGTAGAGCAGTTGCAGGTTGCGCAGCTTGGAGACGTCGATGGCGGTGATGCCGCTGCGCGCGCACAGCAGGTGCTTCAGGCTGGCCAGGAACTCAAACGGCTCCGTGGACAGGGAGCGGAAGTTGTTGTCGCCGATGCTGAGCTCCTCCAGCCTGCTCGCGTCACGAAGGAACTTGGTGGGCAGCTTGCTGATGTGGTTCTGGGCCAGGTTGAGCCTGGTGAGGTTGCCGAGGCCGGAAAAGACGCCGGTGGCAAGCGACGTGAGTTGGTTCGCCTGCAAGAAGAGCGTGTCGAGGCGCTCGAGCTTGTGGAAGACTTCGGGCACCAGCTCGGTGAGCATGTTGTTGGCCAAGTCCAGGTGCAGCAGGTTGACGAGGCCGTCGAAGACCGCTTCGTCGATGACGCTGATGCGCCCGCTTTGCAGGAAGAGGGTTTCCAACATGGTGGTGGAGGAGAAGAGGTTTGGTGGGAGGGAAGACAGTCGCAGGGAGGAGGCGTCGAGGGTGGTCAGCCTGGACTGCGAGCTGAGCATGGTGCGCGGGAGCTCTTGGATGGGGTTGTTGGCGATGTTGAGCACACGCAGGTCTGGCAGGTTGGAGAAGGCGTGATCGTCGATTGTGGTGATGACGTTGCCGTCGAGATGCAAGTCTCGCAGGTGCGCGAGCGGCTCAAAGTCCGAGTGCTCCACAGTGGCGATGCCGTTGTTCGCCAGGTTGAGGGTGGTGATGTTGTTGAGGAAGTGCAGCCCTTGAAGCGAGGTGATCTGGTTGTGGCGGAGGAAGAGGCGTTGGAGGCGCGTAAAGTCATGGAAAGCATCGTCCACTGCAGTCACGAGGTTGTTGTTGAGGTTGATGGTGGTGAGCGGCAAACGCAACCGTTGCCTGTTGGACAGAAAGACAATGTCGTTTTGCTGCATGTTCAGCTCACGCAGGTCTGGTAAGTCTGCAAACACGTGAAAGTCGAGTGAGGCACTCCTGTACTGTTGGATGTGGATGACTTTAATGTGTTGCCACAGATGCGGGTTGCGCACCAACACACATTCGAGGTCTCTGAAGTCGCGAGGGCCCACAAGCGTCAGTTCAACAGCAAACTCTGCAATGGCCCGAGCAGCAGCGCGTGCGTCATGCATGGGCTCAGGGTGAGGACTTGGTGTTGTGTCGTTTTCTGTGCGAGTGCGCGTTACGGTTGTGGTTGTTCCTGCAGTAGTTGTCGCCCGTGGTGCTGATGGCCCCCCTGCTGTGGTATTGGCTGGTGGTGTTGTTGTGGTTGTCGTTGTGAGTTGTTCCTGGTTGGGCAGGTCGTCGGCAAACTCGCAGGTATCCTCGTCGAGATACAGAAAGAGGTGGAACGGGTCGTCTCTGCCCACTGCGCACTCGCCTCGCTGAACGTTCCCCAGCGTGCAGGTGATTGTATCACTTGCGGTTCCCGTTGGCTGTGGTGGCTGGCGTTGGTCTTGCTGGTCTTGCTGTTCTTGCTGGTCTTGCTGGTCTTGTTGGTCTTGCTGGTCTTGCTGTTGCTGCTGTCGTTGGCGTTGCTGCCGCTGAAAAGGTGATGAGAGGCTGCGGGCTGCGCGCTCCAGCACAGGCACGCTCTTCTTGCTACTGCTGTATGGCCATGCCGTTGTTGTTGTTGTTGTTGTTGTTGTTGTTGTTGTTGTTGTTGTTGTTGTTGTTGTTGTTGTTGTTGTTGTTGTTGTTGTTGTTGTTGTTGTTGCTGTTGTTGGTTGTGGCTGAGGTGTGGTGGTGGCTTGCCGTGGTTGGGCGCCGAAGCATGGGCGTGTGTTGTCCGTGTGATGATGCTCTGGGAGCGGCTGAAACAGGGCATCAGCACAAAAGTGACGCACGATGGTAAGGAAGGGGCGGGCGGTGGCGTCCTTCCAAGCCGTGTCCTGCGGAGACGACGAGGCAAGCTGTTGCAGTGCATGCTGAGCTTCTTCACACAGCGATTGGTGCTCCGGACACCCGACAGGAAGGCATGGCCCTGAGGCATCATCAGGGCAGGACACCAGGGGGCGACACAGTGCCTGGGTGGTTGTGGTCGTCTGCGACAACCCAGGTGCTACCAGGACCGCAGTCACGGCAAGAAGAAGCGAAACGACCGCGCAGCCCAGGACACGCTGGCGTGGACGAGCTTGTGCGAGTGCAGTGCCAGCCATTATGATGGCGAGCGAAACCAAGCACAGGTTTGAGAGTGTGAGAAACAGGAGGGGAAGGCCGAGAATGAGCGAAAGAGCGTTCGAGCAGGAGTAAGGGGAGGCTTGTGATGGTTGGTGGTGATGATGTCGGTAGCGATGTCGTGGGAGAAAACAAGGAACAAAGCAACAAGCAAAGAAGCAACAGCTAACTGCTGCTGATTGTTTTGAGTGTGGCGGAGAGAGAAAAGGACCAAACAAGCAAAGCGAAAGCGCACGAGACAACTACTCGCACAAAAGAAGAAAGGAAGACGGCGGAAGAGCGAGGAATGCTGTTTTGGTGAGAGGGGAACAACGCACCAAACCCGCATGGCCAAAACAGACCGCTTTCCGGGCAAAACGACAAAAACGCGTGGTTGCCCCGGTTCCTCGTGCTTGCATGCACGCACGCATGCGAGCGCATGACCAAAGATCGTGGCAAATCCTCCAAAATCGACTAGGTTAAGTCGTGACAACGCGACACATCGGAAAACATTGCTGAGTCAGCCGTGGCGAAAGCGACACACGACATACAAAGCGATTGAAGGAGGACAAGAGTCGGTGCAATGATGAAGATGACCACGTTGACGATGGCTTTGGTGTTGGTGTTGCTGTTGCTTGTCATCCTGCCACCTGCTGCTGTTGTTATTGTGGTTGCGGCTGGCATCGACCCTCGCTATGCCATCAACATCACCGTCTACCACGTCAACGAGGTGTGTATATGTGTGTGCGCGCGCGTGTGTTGTATGTATGTGTGTGTGCTCGTGTGTGTGTGTGTGTGCTCTGGTGTGTGTGCTGGTGTGTGTGTGTGTTTCTCTCTCTGTCTCTCTGTCTCTCTGTCTCTCTGTCTCTGTCTCTCTCTCTCTGCCTCTCTGTCTCTGTCTCTCTCTGTCTCTGTCTCTCTCTTTCTCTCCCCCTCTCTCTTGCTCTGTGCGCCATCCCACAGACTCTATATGGCCCAGTGCTGGATTCCTGCCTGCACCTGACAGGCGCACGATAAGACTTAACTTGTATTGAAGGTTAAACGAAGATGCGGCTTAGCAGATCATTGGTTGTAATCTTACAGTGCGGTTGGACTACGTTCGGAGGTTCGTTTGGCTCTTAGCATACAGAAAGGAAAAAGGTCCCTGCAGACACCTCGATGATAGACGACAGACAGCGTCATGAAAACGAACAACGAGAATCGAGGGTCCCCATGATGCGGCTGCAACTACGCAGAGATTCACCATCTCGCTAACCCCTACAGTACTTCGGTTTATGGGTAAGAATGCACCGCACGCACGGTCCTGACATCATTCTTTCTAGCCGGTTGAGCATGTCTACGCGCCTAAGCTGACTGTTGGTATTTCGCATGGAATCTACCCCTCGTACGGTCGGCCATGAGCTTCGACGGGATGCCCCGTTGACACTACCCTGAGAGTCCCTCACGCGATCTCGCGTAGACTAATGAGCCTGAAGGGTAGTGGAATGTTCAAAAAAGAGACCGGCCATAAGTGAAGACGACACACACACACACACACACACACACACACACACACACACACACACACACACACACACACACACACACACACACCCTCGTTTCTCGCACTGTGTCGTTGCCGCGACTCGTACACTTCACAGCCAACACACACACACACACACATACATACACACACACACACACTCACTCACTCTCACACTCTCTCACACTCTCTCCCACTCTCACTCATCCGCACCCAAACACACGCGCGTGATGACTCAAACACATGCAGGCAAGTACGAGTGCAAGTGCGTGCTGCCACCGCCGCTGGCGATGTGTGGTCCGACGGTCGGATATGAGGACGTCGCGGCGTCGCATGTGCAGCCGCTGCCGGCCCCAGACGCCCCAAACTACCTGTGGTGGCGGTACAACCTGGCACAGTACTTGGGAGGCGCGTGGTACTCGTTCCTCGAGGAGGGAAAGTGTCCGCACACGCCAGCGGCAGCGGCAGCGGCGCCGTTGCAATTGGCGTCAGCATATGCACAGCCACGTTCACACCGTGACGGTGACGGTGGTACGAGCAATAGCCTTGATCACAGACAACGAACCGTGAACACCAACAACAACAACAGCAGCAACAGCAACAACAACAACACCAACAACAACAGCAGCAGCAACAGCAGCAACAGCAACAGCAACAGCAACAACAACAACAGCAGCAACAGCAGCAACAGCAACAACAACAACAACAACAACAACAACGACAACAACAACAACAACAACAACAGCAACAACAGCAGCAACACCAACACCGGTGACAGTTGCTACTGGCGTGTGGTGGATGTGCGCAAGCGCGTGCGTAAGAACTGCACGGATGCGATTATTCAGGCTGCAGTGCAGTCGGTGCACCCAGACTGCTTTGGAGCCTGCAAACAACCACGCAACGTGACGAGCCCCTGCTGGATCGAGTGCTTCTTCTCGACTTTGATGGGCAAGACGAGTGCGCACGAGGTGTACGACCCATCCCATGCCCTCAACACCACGCTCTTGCACGGTGCATTTCTGCAATCGTTTGCTGACCCAGAGCACCAAGGGTGCCCGCCCGTTTAGGACCAGTGCATGTACACGGTGGGAACGGTGGGAACGGTAGCTCTATGATGTGAATACGTGCACAAATGCGTGGGCGCTTCGTGCGTGCCTTGTATGTGGATGGGAGTTTGCTCGCGTGCCTGACATATGGGAAGGCGTTTTTTCGTTCAGTGGTGGGTGGTGTTGGTGATATAATACATACACGCAGCCTGACAGGCGTGAGAACATGCATGGCTTTGACGTGACGCCACACACGCATACACATATCAGGGTTGAAACTCTTTTCTCACATCAGTATCGTGCACAGGAAGAGGGAGGGCGCGTGCAAATGGTTTCCTTTAGTGTTCTCGACAGGCACGAGCCCGGTCAGACAGACAAACAACAGGCACACGAAGGGATGAAGACGAACGGGCAGACAGACATGCAAATCAAGCGCGCGCGCACACACACGAATGAAACACAAACACAAAATCAAACACACACACACACACACATGCACACGTCACACACATACACGCACGCACACATGCACACACATTCAATCACATACGCAAAAATCAAACACATGAACCACAAACGTACAACACACACACACACACATCGGCTCAGAAGACGATGCGGTAGGAGACATATCTGCCTGCTGTTGGGCTGTTGTTGCGAATGACCTTGCAGACCTGCCCGCGCTTGAGGCCGAGGTAGCGGGCGACGGGGTCAGACACCTTCATGCGCGGCAGCTGCTGCTCCTGCAGTTTGTATCGCTGCAGCAACGCCTGCTTCTCCTCTTTGCTCAACACCACGTGTTGTGGCACAAGCTGCACAGGGTGTCGAGAGCACAGTGGTGGTGATGGTGGTGGTGGTGGTGGTGGTGGTGGTGGTGGTGGTGGTGGTGAGAGCCCGTGAAGAAGTGAAGAAGTGAAGAAGTGAAGAAGTGAAGAAGTGAGAGCGGGAGAAGAGTAAGAGGGAGCCCAAGCACAGAGTTGACGAGCCAAATACAGGGGACGGGGGTTCAAACGAAATGATTTGCATTTTCGTCGTCGCATCATTAAAGTACACACACACACACACACACACACAC